TTTAAGAAAAAATCTTTTGAGGATATGAAAATGAGGATCTTTGTATTAATGTTTTTGGATGCTCAGTTCCACTCTGACAGGAGGCAGAGGAGAACTGAATCATCAGTGTGAGGACTAATGGTCCCCATGACTTTATTTTCAGAGCACTTCTCAAGCTTTTGTTATTTCCAGGTTACAAAAACCATCTTTTGATCACAATGCAGATACTGAAAGCCCCGCCCTCTCTGACTGTGTTTGACTGTTGAGAGGTAAAAAGAGTTGTTGAGCACAGCACTCAACACACACACACAAAAACATGACTAGCCATGCTAACATTCGAAGCTGACTTATCAGATAATTTGTGTTTTTAAAGATTTCTAGATCAAACTTTTACTATGGTAAACTCGCTTCTCTTTGTGAACACTGGAGAATTTAACATTTTTCTCTTTCGATGGCCGACACCTGAGAATTAGAGGATATTTGTGGTTCTAGTTGTGTAAGTAACCCTCTTGTATATTTCCAACATATCACTCACATTACTGTCTACCAACTTTCCATTGGTAGTCATTCAATCTCGCCTTACATTTCACATTAGCTTAGCTTGACACTCGGCCACTTGTTGTTACTTGGCCTGTTATTGTCAGAAGTCAGAAAAGGAATCATTGTCATTGCAAGTATTGGGTTTATCTTTCACATTTGAATACTGGTACCAACCGATATTACTTTTTGGCATAATATATTCTAAATTTGGTGTCTGAGAGCCACACTTGCTGCAGTAGTCTTCTGATCGACACTTGACACAAAACCTCCACATCAGCGCTGGTATAGTAGTAGAAGCAGTCGAGACAGAAAGCAAATACATCAACACATTGCAGAATTTCTTTTCCCCCCAAACTACTGCCGCATCTCTCTCTGTATAACTTGTAATTTTCAGCACTGAAATGATGGTAAAACCCAATACGATCACTGGTCACCCTACGTGTGACATCAAGGGGTACACGAACAGCCGAACATTAGTACCAATGTAATTTTGCCGGTACCCTAAAACAGCAGTCCGTAAACTTTTTTTGCGCTACGGACCGGTTTATGTCCGACAATATTCTCTCTGACCGGCCTTTAAGGTGTCTCGGATAAATACAACAAGATTTATTCATAACAGACAGACCCAGGGAAACCGAGTTAACTATTAAAAATGTTAAAAATAACCCGATAAAAACCCTGAGAACCATAAATTGTGGTTTTCACCCGGGCCTCAACTCTCGCGGCCCGGTACCAAACGACTCACAGACCAATACCGGTCCGCGGCCCGGGGATTGGGGACCGCTGCCCTAACTGAATTCGGTACTGAATTCGGTACCCGACCCTACAAGTTGCTACATTCCTTGATTCTAAAGGGTTCTGTGAAAAGGCTAGTTACCAATCATTTTGGCTCCATCCTCTTCATCGCCGGGAGACTGCATCTGCATGAACATGTTCTTGATACGGTGAACATTTGAGCCATATTTCCGGCCCCTCCCAGTAGGCCGGGGCAGAGGAGCGGGTTTTGAGGCAGGGTCAGCGCCTCCATTGGCGGCATTGTTGAGGTGGTCTGTGGCCTTCTTCAGCGCCGCAAGACCTGCCTCGTAGGCATTGCGGTGGGGAGACGGACTTCGCAGATTAGAGCTCCCGTTGCTCTCACCGGAGGCCCCGTTGCCTCCCGTGGCTGACGGAGGCTCGGTCTTCATCATGTTTGGTGAGTCAAATGTCCCGTGGTGAATAGCAGGTTGGCATGAATGAGGGGGGCAGCATCCTGGAGCTGTCTGACATTCACCTCCTGAATAAAACAGAAATAGATCAATGAGCCGTGAACTCTGGACACGACTGTGCATCGGCTTAAACATTCTGAAGGATATGAGGCAAATTAAATTTACATGTTGGATTTTTCAAAGCTTTAACCAGCAAATTGCTGTGCAACTAAGGCAAACATGCAGATAAGACCCACAGATGTTCACAGTGAACAGCTGAAGCCACCCATCAGGCCTTCATTTTGTTGCACTGAAGTAATACTTTAGCCCAAAATCCCAAACAGCCAGCGGTGCCAGCTTCTCAAGGGTAACTATGCTAGTTTACAAAGGACCTCTTGGCTGTATGCTGTCGCTCAGACAAGGTTTTTGATACATACAATTAGGTTGCATATGATTGTGATCAATAATCAAAGATTCTTTAACGAACACATGTATTTGTGCCACCTGTAGGAGCCGGCTGGGAGAGTGTTAACAGTATAACTAAGCTGAAGATGAGCGAACTTGGCATTAGACGACATCACAATCGCCCCTCTGTGTACACCCACACGGCGCTGCCGTCAATATAATCCAATTAAAACAATGACGCAGTGTGACAACCCCCCCTCCCCCCCGCGCGTGTTTATATTGCTGCTCCTAATGCCCAACTTGCTTCGTGATAGACTTGCCAGATAAATACAGCACGAATACAGAACAGCCCTTTGGTCCCAAGATATCACAGTGTTTTCTCGTAATAGCATCTCATTTACTGGTTGACAGCATTCGTGGCTTGTGCCGTCACATCTTTACAACAGGGATTCCTGATGTTTTCATCAGGCTTGATTGACTCTATAAAAACTATGTATAACAGAGACAGCAATTAGAACAGAATGAATTATAGAAAGAGTAACAAGGTTTCTTGATAATCTGCCAATGACATGCTAATAACTGCCGGCAACTTTGATTTGATTATATTTTTCTTCGATAGTTGCGTGACCTTTTATGATTTAAGGTCACGGCAGTAGTTTTGAGTGCACCAAATTTAACAGATCAAACTAAATTAGGAAAGTTAGATTAGCTTAGCTTAACTTGGGTAGCTAGCCTTGTACAATCAAAACAAACAATTCCTGCTAGCACCCCTAGCTCCTACATTATGCAACCCCTCACATGCTACCATTGGCAACACTGCACAACCCTGGCAAAGCACAAGTTCCCAAAAAAACAACAAAACAAACTGCAGTTCTACTAATGACCACTTGAAATTGGCTTAAAAAAACATGACTCAATCTCCACAGGTTCCAATGCTAAAACGTCAACTTTACAATATTAAAAAGTGAACCTGGCACAAGAGGTTTGGATTCCTAGTCTCCCTCTTCATAACAAATGTATAATGCATGTTTTTTTAAACATCTGTTACGCCCTAAAAGGTGCTAAAGAGGGTGGCTGCTGCTGAGTCTACGTACACAGCTGATAGAACTGTGGCGTAGCACTAAGCTAATTATTAGCATCACTGATTTAAACGTCTCTACCACTTCTGAAGTATCGATCCATTCTGGAGTGTTTTTGGGGTTTTTTTGGACTTATCTGACAAATATTATGGCTTTCTGTGTGGTACAGCCTGCCCAAGGAATATGTGCTTCAGCTTTTGTATTTCAGTAGACTGTTGTTTTGCACTAATTAGCATCTAAGCCTCAACTAAATATGCTAACTTCTGGCTGAAAGAAATGAACACGGCAGAAGCCAAAACACTAACATTAAAGCCTTAAAATGTAAAATCAGAACCAACCACGGCATCCATCTTTTACATACAGTCTATGGTTACCAATTTGTAGCAATCTTCTCTGTTACATCTTCATAAATAGCGCTATGGGGTTTTGTGCAAATACATTTCTTAGCTAGCAGAAGTAGCATCAAGGTGATAAGGCAGGTGATTCCCCGTCTTTAGTACTTCAATAATCGAACCCTGATGAAAAATAAATAAATACATTTGTAATTTCAAGGATTATCTAATGGAACGTGGACACAGACACGTCTAATTTTCCCAGCAGACTGTGGGATTTGTGTGAAAATTCACAGCTGATGTGTGAAGATTCATACTGTCATTTATGTTACACTGTCACAATGTTACCTCTACTTTAACTTATCATCGCTCAATGCAAAGAAGCACAGTTCACTTTACTGCGAGCAGCATTTACTTGTACTTTGCCTCTTTGAGTCTCAAGTATAAAACCTGAATCAGAATTTCCACTAAGGATTGTACCAAACGGACTCCAAATGAGGATAGCCACCAATACAGGAGCCCGCGACTTCATGGGCAACTAAGGCTGTGTTTCATTTGTCTTCCACAACTTGAATTTACGAGGTCACCACAAACTGCCTGAACTAAATCGCTACATTTTCCAGTATCTTCTGTGCAACGTAGTCGAGTTTGTGTTTGTCTGTTAATCAAGAGTCAATGCAGCAATTACATTTTAAACTCTTAAGATGAACAACTCTCTACTCAGACTCAGAAATCTTTACAGCTCAGTAACAAGAACTAGCAGATGTTTTCCTTTGTTGCATGATAAACTAGAACTTAATGAAAATGAATGTTCCTCAGTGGCTTGTGCTTAAGGTTTAAACATTTCCATCTCCATGTTTTTATTGCTGGAACTTCTGGAATAGCTTTTTAGCAAGTTGTTCTAAGACAGCTTCATTCTGATTGGCTGTGCCTCATAAACAGAAGGTCTGGATTGGCTTCTCTGTGCTCACAACCAAAGCTGTGAGCCTAAGATGACGTATTAGGAATAGCTGGAGTAGCTGACATCACAGAGGCCCAAAGGTAGGAAAAATGGTTGAAACAGAATGTTTGCAGAAGCCTGAAGCCTGAGATTCATGGTGCATGTTTGATGTTCCAGCGTTTGCTGTTGCACATAAAACTCCACTCATTCCCACTTGCAGCTACTTACAAATGCTTTGCAGCAACATGCATCGTTGCTAAAGGAACCCCGAGCAGGTTGGATCATGTAACCGTTTAGCTTTCCGTGACGGTGCTAACAAACAGGATGTCGTTGGAGATGAAACCATTTTTAGAGATGTGAAACTAATTAAACTAAACAAAGGCAACACTTTATATTACCGCCCACGGCTGTAGCTACGGGGAATTTCAATGCATTTATTTTGAAATCATTATAATTACCTACAAACATTTTAAGGTAGACACTAGAATAAAGTCATGTTTTTACAGGAAAGAACAAATAATTAAACTGCAAGTGATGCATGATCAGTTTTAAGTATTGTATCACTTCAGGTATTTTACAGGAGAGAAGATAAATCTACATTGTGAGTAAATGTAAGTAGTGTGTAGTTACCTGGCAAACAAACAGTATTATGCACTGGCTCAAGTGTTATCCAGTGATGTCAATATGTACCTTTTCGACGCCTCCTATGAGGATCTAATGATTTCTTACTCAGACACGAGGGTAATCTGAATATCTTTGGATGCTAGCATAAGGGTCACATGTCTGAACTTTCGCCATCTTTGCCTGCAGGAAGTCCTTTTATGGAGAAAACCAGTAATTAAAAATAAATTATCAGACAAAACAATGATGAATCCTATTTGTAAACATAGCTGAAAGGCAGTCTGGGTAATAAGAAGCAGTGTTTATAGTACAGTCTGGCCTCACACTTGCTCCAGATGGCACTGCCGGCCATGGGGGGGGGGGGGGGGGGGGGGGGGCAGACACACACACTGCAACAACAATCTTGTGACACTGTCTTGCTAAATACTCAATTCTCACATACAGATCATGTGAAGTCAAGTGAGCAAATTGAATGTAAAGCCAATAACTTTCACACAAGCCACCAAAATTCGCGTGCGCGCGCGCGCGCACACACACACACACACACACACACACACACACACACACACAGCTTTTATAGTTCTTGGCTCGTTTCCTGATATTGTTCAAATGAAGCTCCCGCTCTGATTGAGAAACAGCATAACAAACACACATAAACCCCCGAAACGCACAACACCAGCAAACAGACTGCAACTCCAGTCTCCACCGTGACGTGGGCGGGCTTTTGCGCCTCTTCATTCGTTGGTGTGTAGCCACCAGTTCAAAGAAACGTAACTAAATCCAGCACAAGTACGGTGAAGCACCTCTTTCGAAGAACAACTCAATCCGCCTCCTGCCTGCCTCTCATCCCTCGTGGTTTGGGGTTGCTTCCTGCCATTCAGTGTAGAGTCTGACTACCAGCTGGGCTCCGGTTCTCCTGTTCAATAACACACATGGTTTCACATGCAGCAGCGTCCTTTTCAGTTCATTATAACCAGTTGGTCTCACTCTCGAAACATCAGGGTCACTGATTTGCCTCAGCTCTTACTGACTCTAATCTCTAACTAGATAACAGGATATTGCTTTCACCTGTACTCACAGACAGGGCTCCCATCCTCCACACACACACACACACACTCAGTATCAAGTACGGCAATACGATCCAAAAAATAAAAACAATGCACCAGAACCACTGCCTGCATGTATGCCTGCACCAGTCACCCTAAGCATATGGAGGCAAGCATCTATTGACTTGTAATCTATTTATGGGAGGTCCCTGAACGCCTCCTCCCATCACTAAATACAGGCTACATCACACGCACAGCCTTCCCTGTGTTTTTCTAAGTGTTTGGGTGGTTAGTATGGCACAAGTAACCTTGTCTCATGATCTACTGTAAAACCGAGGAGTGCTCAGTTCACTGTAACCGCTCACATCTGTCTGTGTGTCACAGTCTCTGCAGTAGCTCAGCTACATAATGCTTGAAACTGGCACGATAATACACTGGCCGTTCAGACGCGAGCATTAAAGTCCTTATGCCCTGCGTGCGTCACGCACACAGTGTCCAACAGAAGGCACATTATGGTAAACACAATGACTCCATCTATTCACACGACAATCGCTGCATCGGGCCTCGGCTAGTGCAAAGGTTCATTCTGGCAGACGGTCTGCCTGCGTGCTCCTCCTGCTGCTGTTGCCACAAGCTCGAGAGACGCTTTGTTGGCATAGCGACATATGCTCCACGCACCAAACTCCTATCCGAAAACGGCTCCTTTTTTGTGCCGCTTCTTTTCTAGCAAACACGTCAATCGCCAAA